GTGATAGGAGGCAGCGCAGAGGAGGATCAGAAAGAAGACAACCTTAGTTGTGATTGCTGCCCACAGGCTCAGACTCCGCCTTTTGGAAAAATAACCACCATCTGCTCTAATCTAGACCTATTGCAGCCTGGTTTCTCTGTTACAATAAAATTATGGTAGACTCAACTGCTGTCCACTTTTTTCTTAAATGGGGGGAGCGGAGGAGTAAGACTGAATAAGTATTCCCAAAGTCTAGAATCATGTCCAGCTAACCATAAGCCAAAAGAAGTGTTAGCTGCTCCAAGTGCTGACTGCAAATCATCCAGCCATTCAGCTCGTCCAAAGATGTCAAGGTTGGAAGTGGCGCTGTGGCTCAAGTGGTAGAGCGCTTGCCTTGAGCTGAAGAGCTGAGGGACAGTGCTCAGGCCCAGAGTTCAGGCCCCACAACCGACAAAAAAAAAAAACATGTCAAGGTTGAAGGTATAATCCCTAGGTCCCCAGAAGACAAATGGAGGCCTGTGAAAGGATCCTGTGGATATGGACAATGGGTGGGAGGGTGAAGGGACGGGGCAGCTTTCAGCATCTAGAGCCAAGTTGATAGGGTGAATAAAAAGTGACATGAGGGGCTAGGAATGTGGCTTAGTGGTAGAGTGCTTGCCTAGAATGCATGAAGACCTGGGTTCAATTCCTCAGCACCACATAAACAGAAAAAGCCAGAAGTGGCACTGTGGCTCACATAGTAGCGTGCTAGCCTTGAGCAAAAGAAGCCCAGGGACAGAACCCAGGCCCTGAGTTCAAGCCTCAGGAGTGGCCAGAAAAAGAAAAATTGAATTCAGGGCCTCCCACTTGCTAGGCAGGCATTCTATCACTTGAGCCATTCCCCCTGTAAGGTCCTGGAAATCCTAGATCTAATGGAAGGTCTGAAGTTGGCAGCTCACCAGACACCAATGGCTCACCCCTGTAATCCTAGCTACTCCGGAGGCTGAGGTCTGAGGATTGAAATTCAAAGCCAAACCTGCCAGTGAAGTCCTTGAGACTTGTCCTAGTTACAGAAAAAGCTGGTAGTAGAGCTGTAACTCAGGTGGTAGAATGCTAACCTTGAGCAAAAGGAGTTCAGAGACTGCCTAGGCTCATAGTTCAAGCCTCAGGACAGGCAAAAAAAAAAAAAGCTATTTCAAGTGGCTCATAACCAAAATGCAAGCAAGATCATCAGTCTATGAGCTCGAGTTTGATGCCAGGCCCTCTGCAGACATCTAGCAATGGCACCGGTGTGTCATTAGTCCTACATGGTTGTTATATCCCTATGTTAGTGATGGCCATTCAAATGAGACAGTCCAGACAGATAAGCAGTGAGGCTGGGAGGGGTCAGGCGCAGAAGCCATCCACAGAAGGGGAAGGGAGACGCAATGTGTCCTTTATAACATATTCTCACTCCTGAGGGTGTCAGTGTACGGCAGGCAGAGTCCCTGGCTCCTTGCTCTTCTGGATTCCTGTCACTGATGGACATTCCAAGATAGTGAAAGGATAGATACATGGACTGACTCCCTGGATGTCTTAGAATAGGAAAAGGTAAAACTTATTAGTCATTTGCTCTGGAAAGAAACTAACTAGCTTAGGACAAACTGCTTTGAATTCTCAAATGGAACAAAAGTAATTGAAAATTGGCTGCTAAGCCCTCAACTAGCTGAAGAAGAAACTCTGACTTTGTTGTTTGTTTGTTTGTTTTTGCCAGTCATGGGGTCTGAACTCTGGGCCTGGGCGCTGTCCCTCAGCTCTTCAGCTCAAGGCTAGCGCTCTACCACTTGAGCCACAGCGCCACTTCTGGCTTTTTCTGCTTATGTGGTGCTGAGGAATCAAACCCACCCAGGGCCTCATGCATGCAAGGCAAACACTACCTCTGAGCCACCTTCCCAGCCCCAGTTTGAACTTGAGGCACTGAACCTTCCCAGCTTGCTTGCTTGACTGGTACTTTACTACTTGAGCCACACCTCCATCTTGGCTTTTTGCCAATCGTCAGGGAGAGAGTCTTTTTGTTGTTGTTCGTTGTGGGGCCTGAACTCTGGGCCTGGGTGCTGTCCCTCAGCTCTTCAGCTCAAGGCTAGCACTCTACACTTGAACCACAGCACCTCTTCCAGTTTCTTCTGCTTATGTGGTACTGAGGAATTGAACCCAGGGCCTCATGCATGCAAGGCAAGCATTCTACCACTGAGCCACCTTCCCAGCCCTTGACTTTGTTGTTTTTAAACAAGGTTCACCTGGGCCTAAGTCCCATTTTTCTTGTGGGTGTGAGCTCTTCCTGTGTTTTATTCAGAAGTTCAGACTGTTTGCCCACATCTTCTACTTTCTTATAGGTCTAAGATGTTAATGTTCTCCAAGCTGGTGAAGAGTTGTATGCTCAAAAAGAATCATGCTGGCATCAGTGGCTCACACCTATAATCCTAGCTATAGTACTCAGGAGGCTGAGATCTGAGGATCACAGTTCAAAGCCAGCCCAGGCAGAAAAGTCCTCATGAGACTTATCTCCAAACAAACAACAAAAAAAAAAAAAAACAAGCAGCCAAGCACCAGTGGCTCACACCTGTAATCCTAACTAATCAGCAGACTGAAATCTGAGGACCATGGTTCAAAGCCAGCTTGGGCAAGAAAGCTGCAAAACTCTTATCTCCAATAAACCACCAGAAAACTGGAAGTGGCACTGTGGTTCAAGTGGTAGAGCGCTAGCCTTGAGCTGAGGAGCTGAGGGACAGCACCCAGGCCCAAAGTTTAAGCCCCACAACCAAAAAAAAAAAAAAAAAGCCAGAAGTAGAGCTGTGGCTCAAGTGATAGAGTGCTAACCTTGAACCAAGCCCAGGGACAGCACCCTGACCCCAAATTCAAGCCCAGGATAGGTGTACACACACACACACACACACAATTGGTTGTTTAGCTTCACTCTAGGCATTCTGGGATGAGGTTTGGGAATATGTTTGTGTATATAGATGTCTATAGAAGAGATGGACCCCAGGGCCTTCCACATGCTAGGCAGATACTCTACCAGTGTTACACCCAACCCACTATTTCCATTTCTTTTTGGTTTGTTTTTTTTTTTTTAATCAGTCATGGGGCCTGAACCTCAGCTGTCCCTCAGCTCTTCAGCTCAAAGCTAGCGCCCCGGGCTGGGAAGGTGGCTCAGTGGTAGAGCATTTGCCTTGCATGCTCGAGGCCCTGGGTTCGATTCCTCAGCACCACATAAGCAAAAAGAAAAAAGCTGGAAGTGGCGCTGTGGCTCCAGTGGTAGAGCGCTAGGCTTGAGCTGAAGAGCTGAGGGACAGCGCCCAGGCCCAGAGTTCAGGCCCCACGACCGGACCCAAAAAAAAAAGCTAGTGCCCTACCACTTGAGCCACAGTGCCACTTCCGGCTTTTTCTACTTATGAGGTGCTAAGGAATTGAACCCAGGGCCTCATACATGTGAGGCAAGCACTCTACCACTGAGCTGCCTTCCCAGCCCCTATTTCCATTTGTGTAGATAAGTAAACTAAGACTTTCCCACAATCACTACTTGCACACAAATCTAGGGCTATTAACACACTGCTTGAAGGTTGTACTCTGCATCTGTGGTACCTTTTCCAATAAAGCTTCAACCTTTTAGCCTAGTATTCAAGACTACTTACAAACTAGCAGCTGTTGGTTCCTTTAGACTCAAGTAGCTTTCCTCCATGTCTTTTCCAGACAATGCAAAGATTTTAAGATCAACACAAAGATTGTACCAAAGGCCTGGTGGGGGCTGGGAATATGGCTTAGTGGTAGAGTTCTTGCCTAGCATGCATGAAGCCCTGGGTTCGATTCCTCAGTACCACATAAATAGAAACAGCCAGAAGTCATGCTGTGGCTCAAGTGGTAGAGTGGTAGCCTTGAGCAAAAAGAAGCTCAGGGACAGTGCCCAGGTCCTGAGTTCAAGGCCCAGGACTGGCAAAAAAAAAAAAAAGTCTGAGATCTGAGGATCTTGATCAAAGCCAGCCCAGGCAGATAAAAGCCCAGATTAAATTAATCAGCAAATCTTCCGTTAACTAGCAAAAAGCCAGAAGTGGAGGTATGGCTCAAGGTCTTGAGATCAAGCAAAGAACGGAAAGCAAGCAAGCAAGAGAGAATGAAAGAAAGTTGGATCATGTCTAAAACATGACTGGAACCTGGCATGGTAGTTCACACCTGTAATCCCAGTAATCCCAGTACTTCTAAGGCTGAGACAGGAGGATCTCCAATTCAAGGGCAGCCTGGACTGGATGCGAGACCCTGATTCAAAAGAGGAGGAGAAGGAGGAATGAACTCTAGGGTCACTGGCTGTGGCATAAATGCAGAGACAGAGGAGAAAAAAATAGGAGAGCAGGGTGGGAGGGGGGAGGCTGGGAAGGGATGTGAAGGGTAAACAAAGGAGGAGGCTGCAATGCTTGGTAAGAAATGTACGCATTGGGGCTGGGAAGGTGGCTCAGTGGTAGAACAATTGCCTTGCATGCATGAGGCCCTGGGTTCGATTCCTCAGCACCACATAAGCAGAAAAAGCTAGAAATGGTACTGTGGCTCAAGTGGTAGAGCACTAGCCTTGAGCTGAAGAGCTGAGGGACAGTGCCCAGGCCGAGTTCAGGCACCATGACTGGCAAAAAAAAAACAAAAAAACAAAACAGAAATGTACGCATTATCCTGCCCATGTAATTGTAACCCCTCTACAGTATGTTCACAAATAAAATAAAATTAAAAAAAAAAAATAGGAGAGCAAATAGCTGTGACCCATTGTCCTTGAAGGACAAAGATGCCAGACCTCTTAAAGACCTGCCCAGGAAGAAATGTTTTGCCTGACCAAGATGTCAGGCCTAAAAATAAGTGCATAAACGCTGACTGTCTGGATGCCAGGCCGACTCAGGACGATGATGACAAACTGAGCCAGGGAACTGCTAGTGTGCAAGATTAACACCATCCGAAAACTACAACTCCCAGCGTGCCCTTCGGTCCGCCGGAGCCTGGCGGTCATGTGATAGGTCCTCACGTGTCTCCCCAGCTGGCTCCGGGATGAAGCACTCTAGGTAAGGGGTTGTCGGTAGAGGTGGTGACGGGTGGGGCGTGAGGGCCCGGGGGTTCCTGGGGCCCCCCACCTCGGCGGCGCTCAGGCGAGCTCGCTGCGGGGCCGGAGCTGGTCCTCGCCCCACGCCCGCCGTTCATTTCGCCGGCAGGGTCGCACCTGATCCAGCCGGGTCTCCACCCAGTCCTAGGCCGAGGTGGAGTCCCGGAGCGGCTCTCCAGTTACCCCACGTGGCCCACCTGCCTTGATCCAGGCCTGAGAACCTTGCACGCACGCGCACACACACACACACACATACACATACACACACGCACGCACGCCTGGCCCGGCCGGACATTTTCTGGTCCCCCTCCCAGTGCACACCAACCTTTTGTGTTTCAGGGCTGCAGCTCCACATTGGACTGGGTCAGGTCCTGAGTGGGATCTGAGGTGCCAACTGAAATCTCTGGTAGAGCATGTGGGGCATCAGGCTTCTAGTTCTGGTCCTGCCAGCTGCCCATTGTGACCTTAATCTCCTTCAGGAACCTTTTCCCCTGTCTTGTGTGGGCACTTAGTTCTGAATTAGTATTAAAATTAATCAGTTCCGCCACCTTCTAAAATCAGCTCAGTGACTGCCTGAACTCCTCTCTCCTGACTCCAGATTTTAGGCAAAATCTTCAGGAAGAAGAACTTGAAGCCAGAGAGGGAAGTGAAAGGAATCATCGCAGATCTTGGGAAGAAGAAACCTCCCTTCCACCATAGCCAGGCAGGTGGAAAGAGCAGGTAAGCTGGGAGCTGTTGGAGCTGTGTGATTGGGAGTGAGGATAGGGATTATTGGACCTACCCCTGCTGCAGTGGTCTGCAAGGAGATAAAACTTTTGCCCTCAAGATCCATGGGAACTGCAGCCTTAGTTCTTGTGTAGAGGCTGGGGAGATGACACAAGATTGGGCCAGGAGTGTTATGGGTAATGCATTGCCTGGAGAGCCAGGAAGCTGCTTTAGCCTTGTGACCTTGGATGGGTCATCCAGTAAACGTCTGTAGTGGTAGTGTGAGCAGGTGGTCTTAAACCACTCTGGCACTATACTGAAAGCTAAGAATTAGAAAACTGCCATCACTAGTCACTGCTCTGGTTTTTTGCCGAGTTGCAAGCTGGGGGATAAGTTACACAAGAGGAAGAAGTCCTGTGTCATAGACGAATTTTTCAGAATCTGGCACCAGTAGAGGGAAATTTCCCCTAGGGCTGTGTCCCTTGGTTATGCACACTCACAGAGGCAAATACTCCACCACTTAAGCCACGCCCAAGTCTCCTTGGTTACAGGCTTATTGACAGATATTGGAGAGCACTTGCAATTTTCTATGTCCATCTCATGAGGGAAATATAAATATGCTCTTCAAGAACATTAGACATGGGGCTGGGACGGTGGCTCAGTGGTCGAGTGCTTGCCTTGCATGCATGAGGACCTGGGTTTAATTCCTCAGCACCACATAAGCACAAAAAGCTGGAGGTGGTGCTGTGGCTTAAGTGGTAGAGTGCTAGCCTTGAGCTGAAGAGCTGAGGGACAGCGTCCAGGTCCAGAGCTCAGGCCCCACAACTGCCACCCCCAAAAAAAAGTATAAAAGAAAGATAGATAGACATAGCCAGGCACCGGTGGCTCACCCCTATAATCCTAGCTACTCAGGAAGCTGAGATCTGAGGATTGCGGTTCAAAGCCAGCTCTGGCAGGAAAGTCCGTGAGACTCTTATCTCCAATAAACCACCAGAAAACCAGAAGTGGTGCTGTGGCTCAGTGGTAGAGCACTAGTCTTGAGCTGAAGAGCTAAGGGACAGTGCCCAGGCCCAGAGTTCAAGTCCTACGATGACAATAAAAAGAACGTTAGACATAAAAATAAAGAATTGTCTCAGCAAGGCACAATTTACTTCTGCCCAGAAGGATACACTATCAGCCAAAAATCTGGCAAGGGAGCATGCACACAGAGCTAGTAGTCTGCTCAGGTATTCATTCCTAATGCAGCAGGCCCTGCCCCTCTGCTCAGATTGGTTGAGCCTCAGGTTCACAATCTGCTTCCAGTTAGCTAGTTTGGATATAGTAAAAAATATATGGTGATTTTGAAATAAGATTAACAGTTCACAAGTAATCTCAAAATACACCCATACACTCTGCTATTTCTTTTTCTTTTTTTTTTTTTTGGGGGGGGGGGGAGGGGTCCAGTCATGGGGCCTGAACTCTGGGCCTGGGCGCTGTCCCTCAGCTCTTCAGCTCAAGGCTAGCGCTCTACCACTTGAGCCACAGCACCACTTCCGGCTTTTTTCTTTTTTGCTTATGTGGTGCTAAGGAATTGAACCCAGGGCCTCATGCATGCAAAGCAAGCGCTCTACCACTGAGCCACCTTCCCAGCCCCTCTGCTATTTCTTGAACTGTCTGGGGTGTATTATAAGCCTATCTTGGAAAGAAACCAGTTTAAGACAAAACCTTACATTTTACAAATCCTTTCTTAATCCAGGGAAAGTTCCTCTTTTTTCCTTAACAAGAATGGAACCACCTGGCCAAAGCAGGACCTTTTCTGCAATACACTTTGATAGGAAAGGCTGTTTTTCTCCAAATTCTCCCAGCTTTGTTTGTCCACCCTCACCGGGAGAAACTAGGAATCATCCCAAGGAGCTATTCTATACCCACTGTGGACTGACAACTTCAGAAAGGATGGCTTTATGATAGACCCTGATTAGGTTATTATGGCAGAATCTGAGTCTTTCCCTATCAGATACATACACTCTCCCTCTGAGTTACACTCCCCAGTGTGGTAAATGTTTGCTAATATTAACACATTCCTCACAGAAACAACAGGTAAAGGCTTAGAGGGGTGAAGTGATTGCCCAAGTCAGATGTCTAGGAAAGTAAATAGGTTAGCATTCAGTCTCCAGAGTGTATTCTTGAGACCCAGAGTACAGTTCCTCCGTGCTGGGAGATGCTCTTGATCTGGAATTGGACTTACTGCCATCACTTCTCTTGTTGGAGGCGGGGGTTGGGGGGGCGGGTCTCAGGCTGTGTGAGCTGAAGCTGGAGAACACTGGTCAGTTTTCAGGACTGGACGCCTTGAAGCTCAGGATTCTGAGAAGGAGAAATCTCTTTTCTGGAAATGTGGCTTAGTGGTAGAGTGCTTGCCTAGCATGCATGAAGCCCTGGGTTCGATTCCTCAGTACCACATAAATAGAAACAGCCACAAGTCATGCTGTGGCTCAAGTGGTAGAGTGCTAGTCTTGAGCAAAAAGAAGCTCAGGGACAGTGCCCAGGTCCTGAGTTCAAGGCCCAGGACTGGCAAAAAAAAAGGAAAAAGAAAGAAAAGAAGGGGCTAGGAAGGTGGCTCAGTGGTAGAATGCTTGCCTTGCATGCATGAGGCCCTCAGCACCACATAAGTAGAAAAAGATGGAATTGGCACTGTGGCTCAAGTGGTAGAGCGCTAGCCTTGAGCTGAAGAGCTGAGGGACAGCACCCAGGCCTAGAGTTCAGGCTCCACAACTGACAAAGAAAAGAAAACAAGAAATCTCTTTCTAGTTTTCAAGAAAGAACTAAGACCGAAGGAAAAACTGCATCTCATCTCAGGCCCAGGGAGAGGTAGTGACAAACAAATGTATGTTCTAGCACCAAACAAGCCCTCCATCAGGCGTGGGATGACCCTTAGTAAACCCACTTTTAGGACTCCATTGAAGATTAAGTGAGACAAAGCACTGTGGGGTGCAGTAGGAGTAACTACTATCACCATGTGTGTGGCCTTAGAACCTTGTGATTTAGCCGAGAAAAAATAAATCCATGCCTATGTATTGGTAGCACATGAGAGAATGCTACAAGGAAATGCCCAAGCAGTACCAGGCCTTCCAGTGACTCCTAGAAAGACTTGCTGTGCTTGGAACGATCCCAGTCCCTCTCCAGCCACATGCATAGGTCTCATCTCTTCTGGGAAATAGGGAAGGTACACATGGACCTTTAGGCACACATATGACTTGTCATGTGGGAGAAGAGTGGCCTACACTTAATAGACTATTGACTAGAGTGCAGGGGAGTGTGCTGGGCTGTATGTAATACCTTGAAAGTTGCACAGTTGTTGGTAAGAGCACCTCTTGAGAACCTGTGGTGTGGAAACAGGCTGACAGATACAGGTTCAGATCCTGCACAACAGCCTGCTCACATCCAACCTGGAGTCAGTAAGTTGATCTCTCTGACCCTGTGATCACAAGGCCGTCATAGGATTCGTTGAGATAAGATATATCCATGGCACACCTGCTCAGTGGAGGCCTTTCTAGCACTGCTGTATTGGCATCAGCTCTAGATGTGGTAGCCTCCTCTCTTCCTGTTAGGTCTTCTTTACCTTGAATGTCTATGAGGGTGAAACAAGCAGGATTTACATCTGGTGTATTTTTCTATGTCTGTTACCTCATACAGTGGTGTCCAGTGCAATGTTCTTCCCAGAGGCACACGTGGATTTGAACTCTCCATCTCGGGCTAACAATAATACCTGCCTATTTCCCATCTAGGTGACAAGAGTCCTCATAAAATAGCTGTCCTGAACAGACCAGTGTTCCCAAGTTATCCCCAGTGATGTGGTCATGAGGCAGAGCCCAGAGCTCTTACAGAAAGACGACTCTCAGGGCCATGGCCCAGTTCAGCATTAACAATGATTACAACGAGTGGAGCTCCAGCACTGATGCTGGGGAGCGGGCCCGACTGCTGCAGAGTCCCTGTGTGGACACAGCCCCTAAAAGTGAGAGCGAAGCCTCTCCTGGGAGTCCCGACAGAGGCACCACTTCCACACTTGGGGCCATCTTCATCGTTGTCAATGCCTGCCTGGGTGCAGGGCTGCTTAACTTCCCAGCGGCCTTCAGGACTGCCGGGGGCGTGGCAGCTGGCATCTCGCTGCAGATGGTGAGTGTACACAGACTGGTGACAGAGATGAGTGTGGGTGAGCCCATGCATCAGTAGAACGGCTATGGACTGCAGCTGCCATTCTTCCCCTCCCTTATATATGGCAGACATTACCAATCTATTCCAGTACTCTATTCTCATCAAAGCCTTCAGGGAGATTTAAACATTGATTGGGTGTTTAATTTTTTGGGCATTACTTTGATTTTGTGGTTTTGCTACAAGAGGTAGGCCTTAGTCTTGAGAACTACTTACATGTTTACAGATTGTATTGGCTTTATAGTGGGAAGGGAATAAGATAAAACAAGACTAGCCATAATTGTTTGTTTGTTTTTAAGCTGATGGGAATACTTTGAGTCCATTATACTATGCTCTCTACTTTCATGTGTTTTAAATTTTTCAAAAATTCTTTTTTTTTTTTTTTTGGTCAGTCATGGGGCTTGAACTCTGAGCCTGGGTACTGTCCTTCAGCTTTTCAGCTCAAGGCTAGCACCCTACCACTTGAGCCATAGCACCACTTCCAGTTTTCTGAGTGGTTTATTGGAGATAAGAATCTCACTGGACTTTTCTGCCTGGGCTGGCTTTGAACTGTGATCCTCAGATCTCAGCCTCCTGAGTAGCTGGGATTACAGGCGTGAGCCACTGGCGCCCTGCTCTTTTGTTTCTTAAAGAAAACCTCAACTTGTCAACCTTTAGCAGTCAGTTAAAATTGCCTTGCCAAATGAGATCCATTTCCCAAAGCTACTTTGGGCATTAGTCTGGTCAATACTGCATGAGCTCAGGATCCCTTAGCTGCCTGGCTTTTCTCACACCCTCCTTTCTCCCTGCCCTGTCTGCAGAGCATGCTGGTTTTCATCATCAGTGGCTTGGTCATCTTGGCCTACTGTTCCCAGGCAAGCAATGAGGGGACCTACCAGGAGGTGGTGTGGGCTGTGTGTGGCAAGCTAACAGGCGTGCTATGCGAGGTGGCCATCGCTGTCTACACTTTCGGTACCTGTATCGCCTTTCTTATCATCATCGGGGACCAGCAAGACAAGAGTAAGGTTCTTCCCAGAGTGCCTACCCCATCTTTCCCTCAACCCTGGGGATCCTAGAGCGAAGAGAAAGGGTATTATATACCTGCCTGACCTTGTCTGAACTTGGGTCCCGTAGAGGGAGGGCCTGGGGCCTAACAGAGTAGGAAGGCCATACTCTGATGGCCTGGGATGACATTGCCTTCCTCCCTGTGCAGTTATAGCAGTGCTAGCCAAGGAGCCAGAGGGGACCAACAACAGCCTTTGGTACACAGACCGCAAGTTCACCATCAGCCTCACTGCCTTCCTCTTCATCCTGCCCCTCTCCATTCCCAGAGAGATTGGTTTCCAGAAATATGCCAGGTTTGGAGGTGCCACCCCAGCGTGGGTGGGACAGAGCTCTGGTCATGGGCAGCTGGAGACCCAAGGGCTGCTGGGAAGCCCCTCTATGGCATCTCGCCCTTCTGGGATGAGCAGACCAAGGCTTCTAGTATTTTAGGCCCAAGATTTTCCTTTCCTGTCACCATCGAGGGAGAACATGGTCCTTTGCCTCTCTGAGAGGTTCAGTCCTAAATGCCCTTGTCAGAGAAGGGACTGGGGATATGAAGGAGTGTGAAGACACCCTGCTAGCTTGGAGGCTTTTCTTGGGAACATGGGCCTTGAGGTCATTTTGAGATAGCAGCCTGGGAGCATCTTCCATGCAGCTCATGGTAAAAAGGGAGACTAGCTGGGCGCTGGTGGCTCACGCCTGTAATCCTAGCTACTCAGGAGGCTGAGATCTGAGGATCGCAGTTCAAAGCCAGCCCGGGCAGGAGAGACCGTGAGACTCCTATCTCCAATAAACCACCAGAAAACCGGAAGTGGCGCTGTAGCTCAAGTGGTAGAGCGCTCGCCTTGAGCTGAAGAGCTGAAGGATAGCGCCCAGGCCCAGAGTTCAAGCCCCATGACTGACAAAAAAAAAAAAAAAAAAGGGAGACTGGCTGCCTGGCTCAGTGTCTGTGAAGACTGGGGTAAGAGGTAGGGGGCTGTGTCCAGGCTGTTTCCTAGTCTGTTATCTCCGTGGTGCCCTTAAATGTTGATATTCTACTGTATACCAATTCTTTACCTTTAGCATCTTAGTACTCAAAGACCCACAAAACAGCCTACAGCTGACCCTACCAAGTCTGGGCTGCTCAGATCCAAGTTGTCGCTGTGCTTTGGAGCCCAGTCTTCCATCGTGGTCTCTGAGCCATGGAGCTGAACTATTCTATGTGCCAATAGCCACAAATGCTACCCACTGCCTTCCAGCTCCCTCCTAGCTGTATCAGGTCTCTGTGAAACTTATTTTCTAGACATTTCAAGTCTTTGCTTGTCATATTTCTGTCCCAAGAGCAGAAAGTGGACCCCCTGGGATGGCATCAAATAAGGGGGCTACTGGGGCTGGGGAGGAAGAAGTCAGTCTCTCCTTCCTGGCAGCTTCCTGAGCGTTCTGGGCACCTGGTACGTGACTGCCATCATTATCATCAAATACATCTGGCCAGATAATGAGATGACCCCAGGAGACATCCTGACAAGGTGGGTGAGGCTCCCCAGGAAATATATGGGGTAGAACCTGTCACATTGGCCCTGGGAGGTACTGGGTTAGCATCCAAAGGCTACACCGGCTTACTGAGGCTTATAACTCTCCCAAGGGCTGACTCACCAAGCAATGAGGGAGATGGTGAAAAACCCTAGTGAGATCTGACAGTTGCTAGGTGTGAGACACAGCCCAGGTTGGGGAGACGCTTAGAGTAAGGTTGCACAATTCCTGACACTGTTTATCTGCAGTTTCTATATCTTCTATGCAAGGATGAATCCTTTTTATTTTCTCTAAGTCTATCCTTCTGCCTTTTTATTTTTTAATAAGAAAAACAAAGTCAGAAATTCAGAATTTGGGCTTTAGGTGGACCTTACAAAGCCTCAATTTACTGAGGAGGTGCTCAGCCGGGCACCAGTGGCTCACGCATGTAATCCTAGCTACCCAGGAGGCTGAGATCTAAGGATCAAGGTTCAAGCTAGCCCAGGCAGGAAAATCCATGAGACTCTTATCACCAGTTGACCACTAGAAAACCGGAAATGGCGCTGTGGCTCAAGTGGTAGTGCGCTAGCCTTGACCTAAAGAGCTGAGGGACAGCGCCCAGAGTTCAAGCCCCACAACTGACCAAAAAAAAATGGAGGTGCTGAGCATGAGGAAAGCTGGCCACTGGAGGCTGTGGTGGCATGGGGGAAGAGTAGACGGTAGAGACTCTGAAGGCATCACAAGCAGCTGTTCATTGTTTGTTCTCAGGCCAGCTTCCTGGATGTCTGTGTTCAATGCTATGCCCACCATCTGCTTCGGATTTCAGGTGCCAGCCATCCCCTTAGGTCATCCCTCACACTAGGACGGAACTCGTATCGCAGGCTGGATGGGTGGAATCCTGGGGAGGGGGTGCAGGGGGAGGATAAAGCAGGGGCCCCAGATTCCCTTTTGTTCCTAGGGCCTTTTTCCCCAAGGCCTCTGTCCCTACCATCACTGTGCCCTTCACCCAAACAGTGCCATGTGAGCAGCGTGCCCGTCTTCAACAGTATGCAGAGGCCTGAGTTGAAGACCTGGGGTGGGGTGGTGACAGCCGCCATGGTCATAGCCCTGGCTGTCTACCTGGGCACAGGTGAGTGCTTCCCCTTCAAGGGCCAGGCCAACCTGAGTCCCCAGGGCCTCCAGCCCAGCTTTCCAAGGCACTTTCCTGTACCACCAGCCTGACGCTTTGTAGACGTTGGGTTGAATTTGGGCTGTCTGAGCTAAGTGTGTTCCTCCATTCATTCATGGATTCTCAGTCAGTGGCTAGTAAGTTCCAGAAGCTGTTGTCAGTGAAGTACTGTGAGGGTGAAGGTGCCCTGTCCCCAGGGCATGATGGTCTCCTCATGACGTCAGTCAAGTGAGAATGAATAAGGAATTCCGGAGCCATCGTGACGGGTGGATTCACAGAGGGCCCCATCTAGGGAAGCCCGTGACAAGACAGTCTGAAGAGTGGGATGAGCATTCCGGAGAAGCCAGGTCTCTGAACCAGGGTCCGGAAGGAGCTCAGTGTAGCTGGGGTGCCGAGACTAAAGGCAGGCTGGACAGGTGGTGGGGAGGGTGCTTGAGAGGAAGCATTTCATGCAGGGGAGTGGCTGGGGAATGAAGGCTTGGCTGCTATGTGGAGTGGTTGGACAAAGGCACTGTGGCCCTCCCCTGGCAAGAGAGGAGTAGGGCAGGGGCTGCTAGGGCCAGTGCCATGCCAGCCTCTGAAGCCATAGCCAGGGACGAGAAAGGCAAACAGGCCAAGTATTTGTACAGTGAGGCTTATGTCCTGGCTGGAGAGAAAATCGAGAGAGATGTACTCTGAAGAAAATAGAATGGGGGAGGCTGGGAATGTGGCTTGGTAGAGTGCTTACCTAGCACACATGAAGCCCTGAGTTCAATTCCTTAGTACCACATAAACAGAAAAAACCAGAAGTGGTGCTGTGGCTCAGTTGGTACAGTGCTAGCCTTGAGCAGAAGCAGCTCAGGGACAGAGCCCAGGCCCTGAGTTCAAGCCCCAGAAAAGAAAGAAAGGTGGTGTCATGGGGGCTGGAGAGCATCTGGCAGGAAGGGATCTCAGAAGGCAGGTGTGGAGGCGCCTTCCGAGGTGGACTCCCCGAGGCTCAGCCTCCTGAGTTGTGCCGGCACCCTCCTCGGGCTGCCTCACCTGGCCCCCTTGTGCCGGCCCCCAGGCATCTGCGGCTTCCTGACCTTCGGAGCTGCTGTGGACCCCGATGTGCTCCTGTCCTACCCTTCCACAGACATGGCTGTGGCTGTTGCCCGAGCCTTCATCATCTTGAGTGTGCTCACCTCCTACCCCATCCTGCACTTCTGTGGGCGGTGAGACACCCCCCCCCCCCCTTCCAGCACACACGGAGCCCTGGAAGCCCTCTAGTATGGTCCTTGGCCTTATGTGGAAACCATTCTGTTCATGGAGAAGTTGAAAACTATAGAAAAATGTGCAGGCCCAGCGCTGGTGGGTCATGCCTGTAATCCTAGCTACTCAGGAGGCTGAGATCTGAGGATCATGGTTCAAAGCCAGCCTGGGCAAGAAAGTCTGTGAGGCTCTTATCTCCAGTTAACCACCAGAAAACTGGAAGTGGTGCTGTGGCCCAAGTGGTAGAGCGCTCACCTTGAGCTGAGGAGCTCAAGGACAGCGCCCAGGCCCGGAGTTCAAGCCCCACGACCAACCAAAAAAAGGAAAAAGAAAAATGTCCATGCCTAGAATGTCCCCCAAATACCCCAAGTGAGGTCTTAGAAGTACCTTTGTCCCAGGGTAACAAAACACTCTTAAGTCCTTGAGGAATCTCCAGCCAGATCCTTTTCTGACCTCTCACATGGGCACCCATTCTTTTGGAAACTCTACCCAGTTTCTTGTAAGGAGACTAACATGTTGTTTCCATGTGACGAGGCAAAGCACTGAACCTTTGTGCTCACCATCAACTCCATGGTGATGAAGGCCCATGTTACAGAAGTCTTGGGCTCAGATCAGATCCCTGCCCACAATCCACCCAGTTCAGGGTCTGGCTCCTGTGACCTAGAGGCAGAGGACATTCATATGGGAACCCTCAATCTCCTCCTTACCTGTAGGGCAGTGGTCGAAGGCTTGTGGCTGCGCTACCAGGGGACCCCCGTGGAGGAGGACGTAGGGCGCGAGCGGCAACGGCGCGTGCTGCAGACGCTGGTGTGGTTCCTGCTCACCCTGCTGCTGGCTCTCTTCATCCCTGACATTGGCAAGGTCATCTCAGTCATCGGAGGCCTGGCTGCCTGCTTCATCTTCGTCTTTCCAGGTGTGGACACCTGCTGCTCCTGTCTCAGCCCCATTGCAGTCTCCCTGGCTTCAGCTCACTGCTAGCTCAGAACCTGCCAGAGAGAGTAACCAACAACCTGTATTGCTCACCCGCCTCAGTTGCCCTGGGGGGTCAGCATGGACCCCTGGAGGGAAGGTTATCATCTTCCTTCCATGGTGAGATGTGAGGTTCAGTGGGGCAGGCTTGCCCAGAGGTTACTAAACTCAGCTGGTAAGCCTCAAGCTCTTTCAGACCCATCGGCTGGGCCCAGCACGAATAGTCTCGCTTTTCATTCAAGCATGTATTCCTACTTGATATGTGGATCCGGCTGCCAGGTGGCTGCAGGTCCATCAGAAACTCAGGTCTACTTATGTCTGAATGAAGGGGCCTGGAAAGCCCTTCCCACTTGACTTGGAGCAAGGAATCCCTGTCTACTCAGGAGTCCACTGGAAGGAACCTGTCATGTGAGCTACCAAAGAGTCACTGTTGGCTCTGAGCCCTACTTACAGCCCAACTCCTCTTACCAGGTGCTGGTCTATCGGGAGAGCAAAAGCAAGGCCTCCAGTTGAATGTAGCAGAGTGTGTGTTGGGGGGGGGAGTCTCCAGAGGACCCCATTGCCTCTTGGCAAGCCGGAGGCCATGCTGAGGGAGAGAGCCAGCCTGTGATCCCTCCAAAACAAGGGCCACACCTCTTCTCTTTCAGGGCTGTGCCTCATTCAAGCCAAACTGTCGGAGATGGAAGAGGTCAAACCAGCCAGGTAAAGCAAAGCTGACCCAAGGGCCTCTGGGGGTTGTGGGGCAGGGTAGACTAGGAGAGGATCTTAAAATTCATAGGAGGACTTGGAAAACTATGAGCGTTTAATGTGTGTGTGTGTGTGTGTGTGTGTGTGTGTGTATACATACACATATGTATGTATAAAATTATACTCCATTGTAATTTCTTTTTTTGGTGGGTCGTGAGGTCTGAACTCTGGGCACTGTCCCTCAGCTCTTCAATTCAAGGCTAGTACTCCACCACTTGAGCCACAGCACCACTTCTGGCTTTTTCTGCTTATGTGGTGCTGAGGAATCCAACCCAGGGCTTCATGCATGCAAGGCAAGCACTATACCACTGAGCCACCTTCCCAGCGCCTGTAATTTTTTATTTTATTTATTTTTGTTGTTGTTGGTCTGGGGCTTGAACTTTGGGCCTGGGAGCTATCTCTCAGCTCTTCAGCTCAAGGCAAGTGCTCTACCACTTGAGCCACAGCACCACTTCTGGTTTTCTGAGTGGTTTATTGGAGATAAGAGTCTCACAGATTTTCCTGTCCAGGCTGGCTTTGAACTACAATCCTCAGATCTCAGCTTCCTCAGCTAGGATTACATATGTGAGCCATCGGCCCCCAGCTTAATGTATATCTTTTAAATAGGTAATCCAAACTAGTTGTGACAATTCAAAATACTACTTAAGGATTTAGAAAAAAGCAAAAGTTTCTCCCAATTCCCTATTGTGCCTCTCTCCCATTACCCCTGTGAACTGTGCCCCTGGAGACTCTGAGTTACACAGGGCTGTGCACAGATATGCAAGCTTAGTGTGGATGGTTTTTGTTGATTTCAAAACAGGGTCTTACTGCATAACCCATACTGGTCTCATACTCATTGTGTGGCCCAGGTTGGCCTCCAACTTGCAGTCCTCTTGTCTTGGCCTCCCTAGTGTACAGTTACAGGTGTGTGCCACAATGCCTGGTTGTTCCTTCTTTCAGTGGTTTCAAGATATTGTGTCATGCATGTGTGTCCTGTCATACATCTTGGCAAATCCATTCAGTGGTTTGAGTAAGATCAGTTCCTTTTTTATTGTTGTTGGTGTTGGCTGTGGGGCTTGAACTCTGAGCCTGACCAATTTTCTGGTGGTTAATTGAAGATAAGAGTCTCAGACTTTCCTGCCTGGGCTGGCTTTGAACGGCAATCCTCAGATCTTAGCCTCCTCAGTAGCTAGGATTACAGGTGTGAACCAATAGCACCTGACAAGATCAGTTCTTAAGAGAAAATTGGTGGGTTACAAGGCATTTCATTTTACTTTGGCACATGAGTTTTCAAATTGCTTTCCAAAAAAGTAGTTCCAAAGTCTCAGCAACACTGAGTGACAGCACCCTTTGCCCCGCCGCCCCAGCCCTGCCTGTGCTGTATGTAAGTTATGGCACACTTGTAACTGAAAATGCACATTAACATGCATGTTTCCCTGAGTAGTAAAGAGGCTGAACAAAAGGTTTACATGCTAAGAAAAATTACTGGGGGCTGGGAAGGTGGCTCAGTGGTAGAGTGCTTGCCTTGCATGTATGAGGCCCTGGGTTCGATTCCTCAGCACCACAAAAGCAGAAAAAGCTGGAAGTGGCACTGTGGCTCAAGTAGTAGAGCACTAGCCTTGAGCTGAAGAGCTGAGGCACAGTGTCTAGGCCCAGAGTTCAGGCCCACGACCAGCAAAAAAAAAAAGAAAAAAAATTATTGCATCAGATGCCAGTGGCTCACATCTGTAATCCTAGCTTTTAGGAGGGTGAGATCTAAGAATCAGGGTTCCAAACCAGCCTAGGTAGGAAAGTAGTATGTGAATCTCCCATCTCTAATAAAACAACTCAGAAACAGCGGGAGTGGTGCTGTGGCTCAAGTGGTAGAATGCTAGCCTTGAACACAAAGAAGCTCAGGGACAGTGCCCATGCCCTGAGTTCAAGCCCCAAGACTGGCAAAAAAAAAAAAAAGAGGAGGAGGAGGGCCAGGTATATGTAGTTCAGTAGTAAAGCATTGCCTTGCATGCATGCAATAAGACCCCAGGTTCCATCCCTAGCATAATATGAAAACAAAAGAAAAAGAACCCACAAATAACACTTGTTTACTAGCACTCAGGAGGCTAAGACAAGAGGATCATGAGTTCAGTACTGGCTTGGGCTACATACAAGACCCTGTCTCAAAAAAAACACAAACAAGCCGGGCACCAGTGGCTCAAGCTACTAAGGAGGCTGAGATCTAAGGATCGAGATTCAAAGCCAGCCCAGGCAAGAAAGTTCGTAAGACTCATCTCTAATAAGCCACTGGAAAACCTGAAGTGGCGCTGTGGCTCAAGTGGTAGGGCGCTCGCCTTGAGCTGAAGAGCACAGGAACAGTGCCCAAGCCCAGAATTCAAGCCCCATGACCAACAAAACAAAACACACACACACACACAAACATAGCTGGGCACTAGTGGCTCATGCCTGTAATCCTAGCTACTCAAGAGGCTGAGATCTGAGCTTCGTGTTTCAAAGCCAGCCTTGGCAGGAAACTCCATGAGACACATCTCCACGACCAACAAAAAAAAAACAATGGGGCTGGGAATGTGGCTTAGGGATAGAGTGCTTGCCTAGCACGCATGAAGCCCTGGGTTTGATTCCTCAGTACACATAAATCAGAAGTGGTAGAGTACTAGCCTAGCCTTGAGCAAAAATAGCTCAGAGATAGTGCCCTGAGTTCAAGCCCCAAAAACTGAAAAACAAAACAAAACAGACAGGCACCAGTGGCTCACACCTATTATCCTAGCTACTGGGGAGGCTGAGATCTAAAGATAACAGTTCAAAGCCAGCCCAAGCAGGAAAGTCTGTGAGACTCTTTTGCTCCAATAAATTACCCCTCACCCCGCCCAAAAAAAAGCCAGAAGTGGCTTAAATGGTAGAGCACTTTCTGATGTTTTTGATAACTGTCTACTTGCAAATGTCTACTTTTTGTCTCTTTTTTAATGAAATGGTCACATTCCACGTGACTTTCTTAGTCCCTGGTCCTCTTCCTGTCAGGAGACCTGCATGCATACCCTGATCGCACCCTTGCATGCTGTGACCATAGTCAGTTAATTCCATTAGGCCTCGATATCCTTACCTTTAGACATCTGGCCCACATGCCTCTTGATGGAAAAGGCCATGAAAACTCAAAGGTGCTCTGCCAGCAGACACAATGTACTTCTGTTGTAATACTTAGCTGATAAGTCTGCAGAGTCATGAACAGGTTGACTGACCCGTCCCTTTCATCCTCTGCCCTACAGCTGGTGGGCATTGGTCGGTTATGGAGTCTTCTTAGTCACCCTGGGAGCCTTCATCTTCGGCCAGACCACAGCCAATGCCATCTTTGTGAACGTCTTGGCATAACCACTGCCTTTGTGGACCCCAGGAGCCACCTCTCAGAGCTATGGGCTGCCCCAACCCAACATCATGCTGGTGTGATGGCATCTGGACATCCTTTTCCAGGATGATTAGCCCCCTACCTGTGGACAGCTCAGACCCCTGCTCCTTCCCGCTTCCCAGCCCCAGCAGTGCTGGCGTGGGGGCAGGTCTCCTGTGACACAGGAATTTCCTCCTCCCCTCCTCTCAACTTCTCCATGCCTTGATTCGGTGGATGAAAAGCAGCATCAGGGGGACTTAGAAGAGAACCCATTCTGACTTTCCTGGAGAAAGACGATGTGCAAAAGGCTGGCGTCCTCCCTCGCCTCAGAGTATCCTGTCCTGCGTAGGGGCTGTGTTCAGTGCCTGTTCCTGTCCTCAGCAGCCATGACCGGTGGCAACTTCTCCTGGGATCTAAGCTTCTGAAGGTGGCCTTGGAGTCATACAGATGTGCAAAGACAGCCGTCTATTCCCCCGGACTGTCAGGGAGCCTGCTAGCCGCTTTGCCATGGATTGATATCTCCCAAGTCTCTGGGGGAGGAAGTGGGGCGTCTCCAAACCCAATAGTCCAGGCCGGGCGTCCCTCTCCTGCATCCCCAGATGTCACCAAGTCTAATGTTTACAAACGGTGCCAGCCTGGTTCTGAGACCAGGACCGCCTGCGTCGCGGTGCTGTGAGTACTCCTTCCTTAACTTCACCCATTGGTGAAGGTGAGCTGTTTTTGTTCCCTCCTGATTCCAGATGGGAACTTTTTAGAGGGTCAGAGTGAGGAATGAAGGAGTCTGGGAACTTTTCAAACCCTTACTGTGGGCTGAGCTGACCAAACCTGTGTGTGTGTGTGTGTGTGTGTGTGTGTGTGTGTGTGTGTGTGTGTGTGTGTGTGTGTGTGTGTGTGTGTGTGTGTGTGTGTGTGTGTGTGTGTGTGTGTGTGTGTGTGTGTGTGTGTGTGTGTGTGTGTGTGTGTGTGTGTGTGTGTGTGTGTGTGTGTGTGTGATCACCTTCTCTCTGACTTTCCTCTTCCCCTCCCCAGCCAACCATACCCTGAAACCCAAACGGAAAGGGATAGCTGGAACCTAGAAGTTTCCTTTCCTATCTTGGCTGCTTCCTCTTCCCCCGTGCTGTCCCTGTGTGTAGTTCAGTCTCCCCCTCTCACCAGCTTCCCTGGCTCCCCGCCTCTGCCATGCAGGCTACTCCGTGGCCTTTTCCTCCCCATAGAGCTCACACCTGGATTGCAGGTTGAAAACAGATTTCATGCCTTCCTGTTGTGATCTTGGCCCCTCCCCACCCGCTCACTCTGTTAAGGTACAGGATCAACTTCCTCCTTCAGGAACCCCAACATTTATTTGCACCCCACCTCCTACCTAAAACCTCTGTCTTAGCAGTAATTGGGGACTGGATGGAGAACAGAGAGGCTTCTGTCAGCCCCCCCTGACAGAAGGAGGAGTAGGAGCTATAATTTCCTTCTCGTCCCCTCCTGGCACCCACTCAACCCCTCTCCCCCACCACCGCACCTCGCTTTCCTACAGCCTCCTGCCCGGCAACAAGACCTGCCAAGGCCGGGCAGACGGACTCCAAGGGCCGTGTTTCAGGGGTTAGGATATGTAAAGCAGGAAAGCAGCATGGACAGGCCAGCTAGGGAAGGGGTCAGGGTCCTAGTCTCTGGAGCCCTCCTGCTCCATCCCTTCTCATCAAGGCCTTTTACTGCCCTTCTACTCAAGCACACTCAGAGGAGGGAGGACAGTTCATAAAGGGAACCTGTGCAGTAGAGCTGTGTCCCCTGTATGGCACTGGGAACAATCTAGGCCGCAGACCGGAGGAGGAGGGGTTGAACTAAGAAATGTAGATGGCATTTGACCCTCTTTGAACCCTGTCTCTGGAGTGGAACCACTGTGCTCCCTAACCAAACAGGGACCTGGGGGGCTCTGAGTGCCTGCCTCTACTTCCCTCAGTCCCTCCTCACAGACTAGACAGTTCTACTGTGGTCTCTTCCTCCTGCACCTCTGTGCCCTCGCCCCGTGCCGCATGCCCCTCCTCGACCCCAAGTCCTAAGGGAGCGTCACACTCGAGCCTCTTCTGTGACTCTAGATTGTTCCCATTCACAGAGTGAAGTGGCAGGTAGCTTTTAGCCCACCATCTTGCCATGCTGTCCAGGATTGGCACCATGGGCAGGCCGAGGGGTTGGGTAGCTTGGGGTACCAGTTCACTGGAGGTTGGGTTTCACTTTCTTCCCCAAGAACAGATTACATCCACCCCAAAAATTGATTCCAGAGCAAATGGCCAGATTCACTCTCATATAGGGTACTCAAGTCACCCTCGTTTTCTTTTTGGCAGTACTGGGGTTTGAACTCAGAGCCCTGTGTTTGTTTGAACCATGCCACCAGCCCAGTTTTCCTTAGTTGTTTTTTCAAATAAGGTCTTGCACTTATGTCCAGTCTGGCTTAAACTACATTCCATACTCCATACTTCCTGAATAGCCAGGGCAACAAGGGTCTCACAAACTTTTTGTCCACAGTTGCCTCAAGAGACTATTCTGGACAAGCTAGGATTACAGGTGTGAGCCACCAACATCCCTATCTTAATATTCCCTACACTTTAATGGTATTTGATCTGCATCTGTCTCATTAGGCTAAATTCCATGGGAACAAGGTAGAATCCTGATCCGCCAGGCATCATAGCCCAGTGCTCAGGAACACATGCTCAGTAATCAAATGAGTGAATGTATAAGTGAATAGCAATATTTACAAGTCATATTGCACCAACACTACTTGCATCATTCTCATGTAGTTCTTACACTAAAGAAGCTGAGCCTGAGGGTGACCATGCGTGAGTAAACAGGTAAGCACAGGCTACACTCAACCAGCCTGTGACCTCCAACCCCAGAGGGCAGGTCTGGGAACCTTGGACTCTCATGTTGTCTCCAACAGCAGAGGTTCCCCTTAGATCCCCTCCCAGCCAGTCCTCATTGAGAGGCTTGCCAGCTAATGGCTCTGGACAAAAGACCTCTCTAGGACTCTGATTCTCTTATTTATAAGATGGTAGTGATGGGCCAGGTATGTCAGCACACCCCTGTAATATGAGCTACTCATGGGGGGGTAGGATCTCTGTCCATCAAGACCAGCCCTTGCAAAATCATGAGATCCTATCTGAAAAGCAAAGTAAAAACAGAAGGACTAGGTGAACAGAGCATTGCCTAGCACATACAAGGCTCTGAATTCATTCCCCAATACCACCAGAAGACAAGAATTGCAATCACGTTTGAGAACTCACAGGGTAAAACAGAGTCAATGTAAGGAAAGTACTTGACTTGAAAAATAAAAGTGCTTTATAACTAACCAAAGGCTGCATTTCTGTTTCTTGGGAGAAACTGTGCTAGGGATTCTCAGTGGCCGCATGGGGAGATCCTGATTCTGCATCTCGTGGGGGGGTCTGAGACACTATGGTCAGCCCCCCCAGTGAGGCCCACCCTGCTGATGCAGGGGCCTAGATCGCAAAGCCTTTGGTCTCTCAAACCTGAGTCCACTTTCAAATGTCTCTCTTATTCTGGGAGACTTTAGTAAGTTGGTTCTGTTCTCTGAATCTTTCTTCTTGTCTGTTGAGATGATCTTACTCAAACTTGAGATCCTCCTGCCTTGGCCTCCAAGTGCTGGGATTACAGGTATGTACCACCTTGCCTAGCCTCAGAGATGCTTATCTTGAGGTTGTAGATACTACTGACGCAAGGATACCTGGATAGTGCCTAGCAGATAGCAGGGCTGCACTCTTGTTAGTCATTTCACTAGGTTGTACAACTGCAGTTCCTTCATTTGGTCAGTAGAGGTCGCCTTTGCACAAATCTTATGGAGATGGAGTAAGCTTTATCTGCCTTGGCTGGCTTGGAGCTGCAATCCTCAGATACCAGCCTTCTGAGTAGCTAGAATTACAGGTGTGAGCCACCAGTGCCCAACCTAACATTTGTTTTTATTCACAAGTGCCCAGCCTTAAATTTATTTTTATTCTTTTGTGCTTGTCCTGGGGCTAGAACTCAGGGCCTGGGCACTGTCCCTAAGCTGCTTTGCGTCAAGGCTAGCACTCTTATCACTTGAGCCATAGGGCCACTTCCAGCCCTTTCTGAGTAGTTTATTAGAGATAAGAATCTTCCCTGCCCCAGCTATCTTTTAACAACCATTCTCAGATCTCAGCCTCCTGAGTAGCTAGGATTATAGGCAAGAGCCACCAGCACCCGGCCTTAAATTTATTTTGAATTGATATGTAAGAGCATACAAATTAGGCTGGGAATGTGGCTTAGTGGTAGAGTACTTGCCTAGCAAAAAAAGAACAAAGATTACACTCGACAGACAGTGGGTGCTGGTGGCTGATGCCTGTAATCCTTGCTACTCAGGAAGCTGAGATCTGAGGATCAAGGTCCAAAGCCAAACTGAATGGAACAGTGGTTCAAGCAGAGAGCTCTAGCCTTGAACAGAAAGAGTGCTGGGACAGCACATAGTCCCAGAATTAAAGCCCTGCAAAAAAAATAATAATACACACAATGAGGTACCATTTATAGCCAGGCACCAGTGGCTCATACCTGTAATCCCAGCTACCCAGAAAGGTAAAAGTGTGGTCAAATACCAGCCTAGCAACTTTTTTGTGTGCTGGTCCTAGGGCTTTAATTCAGAGTGTGGTTGCTGTCACTGAGTTTTTGTGCTTAAAGCTACCACTTGAACCACAGCTTTACTTCCAGATTTTTGTTTGTTTATTTATTTTTGTCATGATTCTTGAACTCTGGGCCTGGACACTGTCCCTCAGTTCTTCAGCTCAAGGCGAGTGTTCTACCACTTGAGCCACAGTACCAATTCCGGTTTTCTGGTGGTTAATTGGAGATAAGTCTCGTGGACTTTCTGCCAGGGCTGGCTTTGAACCTTGATCCTCAGATCTCAGCCTCCTGAGTAGGATTACAAACCTGAGCCACCGGACACCTGGCCCTCTTCCAGATTTTTGATGGCTAATTGGAGATAAGAGTCTCAGGGACTTTCCTTCCTGGGATAGCTTTGTACATAATACTCATAGGTGTGATACTCACAGGCATGAGCTACCAGTACCCAGCCAGCCTAACAGTTTTGAAGCCCTTCCTTAGTTCAAATCACAGCATAACAAAAATAAATAGGCTTCCAGACCTTTTTGCTTTAGTTATTTCTGAATAGAGTCTTGATTTTTGTCTAGTTCTACCTGGACTATGATCCTCCTATCTTAGCATCCTAAATAGCTAGGGTTACAAGAGTGAGCCATCACACTCAGCTTCTTATTGACTTTTTCCAAGGTTTCAGTATATAGCTCAGTCTGGCTTTGAATTCTATAATCCTTGAGCTCTTCAGACCATCCAAGTGCTAGGCATTTGTTTTGGTTTTTAGATGTTTGCGGTTTTTTGTTTGGTTTGTTTTTGTTCTGTTCAAAGATAGCACTCTACCACTTGAGCCACTACTCTACACTGGCTTTTTGGTGGTTAATTGGAAATCCAAGTTTTATGGATTTTCCTGCTTATGCTGGCTTTGAACCACAATCTTCAGAGTGTGGCCTTCAGAATAGCCAGGATTACAGGTGGGAACCATCAGCACCTGGCTCATTTGTTATTTGAGACAGTGTCTAGTTATATTGCCCTGGAACTTACTATGTAGTCCAAGCTGACCTTAGACTTAGTAACCTTCTGCCTTAGTTTGCTAATGCTGGGAGTACAAACATATTCACCAGATCCAGTTTACTATTTTTTTAATCTACCAAGAAGTACTTTTTAAATTTTTTATTGTTATTATAAAAACGATGTACAGCCTGGTGCCGGTGGCTCATGCCTGTAATCCTAGCTACTCAGGAGGCTG